TAAATGAATAAAATCTTTAAAAAAATAAATAAATAAAATAAAATAAAATAAACATGTAATTGAATATTTCAAAAGGCAATCTGTTTACAACTGTTAGGAGACACGCAAGATAACAAATGCAGAATTTTCCTCACTTTCCTTTATCTTTTCCTTTGGCATTCTTCAATTGACCACAAATATTTATCAATGTATTATTATATGCCTTTATTCTGCTGTGGGGTACCCAATGGTGAGCAAGAGAGCTATCACCCTGCCTTCAAGAGATTTTCAGTCTAGTGGATCTCTGCCAATGAAATTATCAGTTGTCCTTTATTAATATTAATCATCAGACAGTCTATGTGCTGGGAATGCAAGGATGAATTTAGCTCATAGTCTTGTGAGGGAGACTGATGTGGATATAGCCATTTCTGGCAATGGGATGAGTAAATGGAGCACCATCAGGACAGGAATGGAGGGAAGGAATCAGTTTACTTGGAATACTGGGTGGAAGATTGCTTTCAAAGAGGACTTCATAGAGTGAATAGCTTTTGAATTGAAAAGGGAAGATATGGGCTCCCTAGCAGAGTGACCAGCCTCTGCTAGTCTGGTTGGCAGGCAGCATTGGGAGAGTGGGTGATGGCAGATGAGATGTGGGCATCACAGGTGTTTAAACAAGGTGATTTCATAATCACAGGATATGCAGTGACAAGGCAGAGGATGCACTGGAGAGAGGAGTGATTGGGTGATGATAGTGAAGTTGATTGCATCTGTACTTGGTGTTGGATTTGTTGTAAATATTTTACATTCATCTTATTAAATGCTCATGACACACCCATGAGTTGGGGGCTATTACAATCACACACACAGAAGCGCACACACACACACACATATATATACACATGCACACATGTATCATATTACTTTATATATTTTTTTCATGCCTGTCTCCCCTGCTAAACTGTGACCTCCTCATGATAGAGGCTCAGTTTCATTTATTTCTGAATCCCAAGTGTTAGCGTAGCACCCAGAATATGGTTATACAAAGGAGGTATTTGTTGAGTAGGCGGAGGATGAGAAAAGCAAAAAAGCAATGGCATTTTGTAATTAGAGGTAACTGGCTAAGTTCTGTGCTGCAAGGAGGGCTTTTAAGCCAGAACCATAAACACTAAATATAAAATAAATCAAGTAAATTGGGCCTGGCCCCATAATTCTCTATATGTGGCTGTACACGTCGACTTTAATTCTCACACGGAATGATGTATATTCCTTATTCTTGCTTCTTAGAGTTGTACTTTTGCCAACAAGACTTGTACTAATCTTTCTACAGAATAAAATAGGACATGATGATTACTGCTTTGGTAATTTAGCTATTATTCTCCATTTTCTATGTGTCAATTTAAAAATGATCACTGGTGTCGGTATATGGTTGGCAGCCAAAAGTCTTATTTAATATTTCAGAGGCATGACTTTTCAGAGTTAGGGGATTGGAAATTGTTTTCTCCTTAATTGTTAGTATCTACTTTTGAGAGCAAGCAGTTAAGAGAAAGTAGATATATCTGTTAATTTGCACAAGTTAGTAGCACTTGGAAATAGGGGGTGGGGGTAGGCCTTTGGATTTTGTAATAAAGAAGGGTTTGAGGGTTAATCTTGAGTTGTTTTCTATCCATGCTACAGAAGAGAAATTGGATGTCACTATACGTGCTTTGAGATTTACACATTTTTGGTCTTGGTTTTTTCCTCCTGCTCCATCTGCAGGGTGTGAATATAAGTGGGGGCCAGAAGCACCGCGTAAGTCTGGCCAGAGCTGTGTATGGTGGGGCTGACATCTACCTCCTGGATGATCCCTTTGCTGCAGTTGATGTCCATGTTGGAAAGCAACTTTTTGAGAAAGTGATTGGGTCCTCGGGTATTTTGAAAAACAAGGTAGCCATAGTGTCACTTATGCTTTTGGGGGGAAAGGGGAAGATGATAATCTGCATAGCATTGTGCCTAAAATTCCAACATTTTGTTCATTTGTTGAAGTAAAGTAGTGATATTTCATATGAAAAAGGGGATATCATACTGACCTTTTTACAGATAAACTTTAATGAATATTTTTTAAAGTTTTTTTTTACAAGTTTACTCTGACAATAATTTATGTGATTGTTACCTTATAGACTGATACCATACTCTAAGGGGATTTGTATGTCAGAATGAATTGGTTTTAGTTTACTTGATTTTTTTTAAATGGTATTTTCATACATAGCACTTGCAAAAAAAGTATTATTTTACTGATTATTTATTACTTAAAACTATGGTATTATTAACATAGCAGTAACAATTCACCTCTCTTGTGAAAGGGCCAAGAAGAAAGGAATTAATATTTACCAAGTGCATACCATGTCTGACGCTAAATTAGTTCATTTAGTTCTTATAGCAAGTCTCTGAATAGGTATTATTATTCCTGTTTTACCTATGAGGGAACTTGGGACTCAAAATGATTTGATACAGGTAGCTTAGCTTAAGAACAGCAGAGATTTTAATAACATGTAGAATTGTTGAATCACTATGTTGTACCCCTAAAACTAATGTAACATCATGTGCAAACGTACTTTAATTAAAAAAAAAAAAAAAGAACAGCAGAGATTTTAAAAAGTCCGTCTGACCACAAGGCTGTACTCATTCCTTCATAATACGCATTTATAGACTTGTTAATATAAGGCAATCTGGAAAACATTAAATAAATGCATAAAATGTTAACGTATATATCTAAGTAAATAATAGATAAATGTCTTTACTTATTAAAATGAGCCCAAGATAAAAACCTCTGGTTCAATCCTATGTGTATGTGTACAATAATATGGAAAGACTTAAAAATAAATACTATGAATTATGACTGGAATCAAACACTTTATTGTAATGCTATAGGACCTTTAAAAAGTAAGCATGAATGACAGATATGAAATTTTTAAATTTGTTATGAAATTGATTCATTTTTAATGAATGAAGACTACCTGAACCAGAGGGTTAAAACACTTGCAATCTTTTGTTTGTTTGTTTGTCTGGTTTTTGTCTAACAGCATATAATCATCCATTGTGAAATACATATATGCTGCCATTTACTGGTACCTACTGACAATTACACTCTGAAATAGTAAAAAAAACACACAAAAAACAAAAAATTGCAGCTTTCTTTAAAATAGATTATTTTTCCTTTTTTTGGTAACCCAAGAAATAAAACACTGTTTTTCAGACTCGCATTTTAGTGACACATAACCTCACACTTCTGCCACAGATGGATCTGATTGTTGTAATGGAGAGTGGCAGAGTTGCACACATGGGAACATACCAGGAGCTGCTGTCGAAAACCAGAAACCTCACAAATTTGCTTCAGGCCTTCAGTGAACGAGAAAAAGGTGAGACACAATGAAAAATAAGCCTACGATGCCGTGTGCCTAGCCATTCCGAAAGTCCATTAATTGTGTGATTTCTTACAATGCCTTTTTCTTCATTCATCCTGCTTAAGTCAGGAGCTGGGCACCTTCCTTTCTCTAGAAAAGAAACAAACGTTAGGACACATCAGCTAAAAATTACCCTCATTTATGATTTTTTAAGCAAAATGTTATGCCCCAAGATCTGTTTGTTCATCTCTGAAATAAGAGATTAGATGATTTATAAGCTCTACTGCGGGTCTAGAATATAATGGGTCTAAACATTCTACTTTCTTTAAAATTAAGAACAGGGAGCATAAATCCATGTCAAGTAAGTAATAAATATTTTAAACATACTGTTGCATGCTGAGGAGGAGAAACGAACAGACAGAAAAGGAATCTGAGGAAAGACAAAGGGGAATGATATTTGTCTTAACTTTTATAAGATAACAATTGAGTTTACCTACTAATTTTTGTTACTATACTCCTACCATTTTAAATTAAGATTATACATGTTTATGTAAATGAAGTGGTTTGATCCTTACCTAATTAAGACACAGGGATGTTTGAAGTCGAGTATTAACTTAATATTCTAGAGGTCAGTTATTTCCCATCTTTGAAAGTGTAGGGGCGCTTGGGTGGCTCAGTTGTTAAGTGTCTGCCTTTGGCTCAGGTCATGATCCCAGGGTCCTGGGATGGAGCCCCACATCGCATCAGGCTCCCTGCTCAGCAGGGTGTCTGCTGCTCCCCCTGTTTGTGCTCTCTTGCTCTCTCTGTCAAATAAATAAATAAAATTAAAAAAAAAAAAAAGAAAGTGTAATGTGCGTCATCTCTTTTTCCATCTATAGATGCTTTCTCAGGTAGACCACTATGATACTTGTCCTATAACTTCCCAGAATACCACTGAGAAATGACTATAAAATCAGTTACCTACTTCATAATTTCAGGGTAACAGAGGAAATATAGAGCTATATCTCAGTATTTCCTATATGAACTCCTATCCACTAATCACTTTACACTGTACCTAGTTATAAAAGTCATAAAAATATGAAACCAGTTTATAACAGGATCAGTGCAATTTATTATTTGTTGTGAAATCAAAGCGATTTTGTTGATGTGTTTCTTTTTTTGGACCTAAGCTAATACACTTTAGTTATATACTACTATTTTTTGTCTTTCTTGTCTTTATTCCTTTCTCAAATTCAAATATTCTGTCTGTAGATGCATTCAGAAATACCTGATGCATCATCAGATGGCTATGATCATTCTTTTTTTTTTTTTTTAAAGATTTTATTCATTTATTTTTCTGAGAAGAGAGCACGAGCAGGGAGAGGAGCAGCAGAGGGAGAAGCAGGCTCCCTACTGAGCAGGGATCCCGATGCGGGACTCGATCCCAGGACCCTGGGATCATGACCTGAGCCAAAGGCAGATGCTCAACTAACTAAGCCACCCAGGCGTCCCAGCTATGGTCATGCTTAATAAAAGAAGCACCTTCTCTTCTCTTAATGGCTAACAATTTTGAAAATGATCTCTTATGTTCTTGGCCAAGCTAAGTAATAATTTATGCTTACTGTATGTATAGGAAAGAGATGACTGTGAGTGTCTCCTAGGATGAAAATGTGGTCTGTCAGTTTTCTCTATTCCCAGCTTTTAGGTAGCTTCATGCTAGGCACATTACAGGTCCTCAGTAGCTGTTTGTTAAACAGGTGAATCTGCTGGAAGCATGTCTCCTCAGGAGTTAATGGGATGATTTGGAATGTTATGAGCCAGTGTATTTTTCATGTGGCCATTTATTTTAAAGGCCACATGAAATATAAGTTGTATTACTTTGGAAAATATAGCTCGAAAAGCAGGCAATGCATAAGTTTTATGGTCAATATTTAATTTACCATAAAATATAAACAGTGTATCTTTTGAAAGTTGTGGAATTTGCTCTTGTTTAAAATCCCAGTTTTTGGAAACAAATATCATGCCTTCTCTTTTATTTCTATATACCTTCTTATGTACATGAATCCTCTATGGTAACAAATGGAAAGCAGTATTATTCTTGAAGTCGGCCTGACATTAATAGATGTTACTACCTCACTGTCAGAAATATGCCAGAGTTAGAAAAATGCAAATTGAACTTTTTTCCCCTAATGACTTCAATATTGTGTCTTCTCTATTAAAATTCAGGAAGGTGATGAGTAGAGATGATTTTTGTACTAAAAATATAATACATTTTTGAAAAAGGATATTTCTGGGATTTTGATTTTTTTGGATGCTGAATAAAAAAATGTAAAGGCTTTTTAAAGGCCACCATAAAATTACACATGATGATACTAGATGTTAGATAGGTATTTGTAAAAGGTCAGTCATGTATAGTGTAATTCCCTTAGGGCCCACACAGAGCAAGGCAAAAGTAGATTTTGATGATATAAACCACCCCATTAAATAATAGTTTCAAACCAGGTTACATTCAGTGTCAAGTTCTTATTTATTTATTTATTTATTTGAGAGAGAGAGTGCACGTGAGCACGAGTGGGGGGAGGAGCAGAGGGAAAGGGACAAGTAGACTCTGTGCTGAGCCCAGAGTCCTACACGGGGCTCCATCTCAACAACCCTCAGGTCCTGACCTGAGCCAAAATCAAGACTCAGATGCTTAACTGACTGAACCACCCAGGCGCCCCCAGTGTCAAGTTCTTATAGTGCTGCTCTTAGATCTGGACCAGCATGACCTAGTACTATACTCTACCTTGTTCTGGCTTTTCTTAACTGCCTTTCTGGTCAAGAGCCCAAGGATTGTGCCCATCAGGGGTCTCCTTCCAATCTTCTACTTTTTGAGTATTCCAGATATTTTGGGGTTCCAGAATTCTCTGCCCAAATAACATAAATTTGCTCCTCAGTCCTATCCTCCCAAAGGCAGGCTAATCTACCGGCATTTGCCACTCTTTGGCCTGAGGAATTTTTTCTTTCTTGGAGGGATGGGTTAGGGCGAACAAAGCCTGGACATATGGGCTGGGGTGTCCCCAGACATGCAGCAGGTTGGGGTTGGGGTGGGAGAGAAGGGGACAAGGGCCTTTACTGGGACTACCTCACCTAGGACTGTTACGTTTCCAAGGAGCTCTTAGGATTTCAAACACTCTCACATGGACCTTAGCTTTCAGGTGGTTGGGAAGGTGTATTGGTTGGGATAAGCAATAGAACTTATTTATGATAAGTTGGTTGGCTCCATCTGTTACTGTTAAATAATTAGGAATATGGTATGTGGGCCTTCATTTATATTCTTGCCCTGGTACCCACCAATGTGAGGTGCAGGCCTGTCCCTGTGGGGCATTTCTTTTTCTTATTTGTATAAGTAGTAGGGAAAACTCACATTATATCTGAGAGCATTTTTATTGGGATTTAGGGGAAACGGATTACCTAGACAAGGAGTGGAATTTGAGAAGTATGATCCCCAGTACTAAAACACCCTGTGATCTATCATTTATGTTTTAATTTATCTTCTTTGATCTTGAGTCTGTTCAAGAATTCTTTTAAAAGGTACACAATGCTTCCATTTTAAAATTCATGTTAACTTATGTGACACCAGAGTGGGAGTAAAAGTAAGCACAATTTTGTGGAAAAAACACTGGGCCAATTTTAAGTTGCCCCAGGCTCTAGTTCTGACTCAGAATAACTATGTGAGTCTTCATAGAGTTGACTTTACACCTCTGGTTCTTCCCATTTATGAAAAATGGGACTGAACTAAGTCTTTTTTTTCCTAGTGGCTGATGTGGAATTGAACAATGCACGTTTTTATCATTCCCTTGCCTCCAAAACTACCTACGACTTAGCCACTTTTTCTTCTTTTCCTATCATCCTCACCTTTACTATTAAGGTTAATAACAGATAACTTAGAAAAAGTAGTTTTTATAGTATAATTTGGGTTTGGATACATCAGATCTTGGAGACTCCATCCAGCTCTGAAAAATCTACAAATCTCACCTTAAGGGGATATTATATTAGAGAATCAGTCAGAGGTGAGAAGAAAGGTCAATGAAGAAAGATATGAAGACTAATGATAAATTTACATATTTATAGGTTTAGTCTAGGCTACTTCTTTTTTTTTTTTTTTTTAAGATTTTATTTATTTATTCGACAGAGAGATACACAGCGAGAGAGGGAACACAAGCAGGGGGAGTGGGAGAGGGAGAAGCAGGACTCCTACCGAGAAGGGAGCCCGATGCGGGGCTCGATCCCAGGACCCTGGGATCATGCCCTGAGCTGAAGGCAGACGCCCAACGACTGAGCCACCCAGGCGCCCCTAGGCTACTTCTTACCCACACTAATAATCCTGGTGATAGCTAGGAGGATGTCATGGGTAGTAAGTCAATATATTCACAACTTTTACCTTACCTTAATTCTCCCTGAAACCTCCTGAGACCGCATGGTCATGATTTTACAAAGATTAGGTATCTTGCACAAGTTAAGACAGATTGTAAGTGGCAGAATTTGAATCTGATACTACATCTGTTTCATGCGAGGCCAGCCAAACTCTTAAACATTTTATCAAATGTGTAGGAACAAGTACACTGACTTGGTGTGAAGAGACAGGAAGGGGTGTGTGGCTCAGCTCACTCTTGTTTGCTCTGTCTCTGTCTCTCTCCCTTCCTCTCTGTCTCTTTGATAACTGTTGGTTTCAGGCAAGTCACTTATCCTATCTGAGTTTTATTTTTCCCTTGCAAAATATGGATAAGCTTAACTATTCTCTTTATCTTACAAGCTCATTTGGTACTCAAATGTATGTGAAAGACCCCTATAAATTGCAAATATATAAATTTTAAAATTATTATAAACTATAAAAATGAAAACGGTCCTTAGGCAGGAGGGGGCTGAAACATCTCCAGATCAAATTTTCATTCTGTTGAGACATGGAATACCATGTTTCGTAGAGATGGTTGATGTAAGTCAGATTTTTCCATTAAGGGCTATTAGATGTTTACTTCTAGAAATAAGAAAACATAGAATTCATAGAAGAGATTGTAGAAATTCCCAGGTCCAGTTCCTTTTTTTTAAAGATGAGAAGTCTGAAATTCAAGGAGTTTAAGTATTATACTGTAAAAAAAAAAAAGACAAAACTCAGCCAAGCTCTGAGATGTTTCCCATCAAATTCACAAGCAGTAACTTGAACCTCAATCTTATAGTTCTAGATGTGAGACCTTGGTTTGTGTGACCTGCTTAACTTCTCTGTGCCTCAGTCTTTTCATCCCTAGAATAAAGGGATAATTATAGTATCTTCCTCATAGGGATCAAGAATATATATATACATATATATATATATCATTTAGAAAAATGCCTGCCATATAGGAAGCTATTATTAGTATTAGTGACATTAGAAAGAACATGACAGAGATTTGGGGAATTTACCATTGTGTTTCATTAGTAATCTTCATAATAATCAAATTGTCTATAGGGCTTCATTAAATTGCATTTTTCTTTTAAAGACTAGAGTCATGTTCCTCTTGGGCAAATACCTAGCCATTCTGTGGAAGTCCAAAACAAGTTAACACTCCTCTCTAATGTCCAAAAAAATAATTTGTGTAGGCTTTTTCATTACAAAATCTTAGTTTTAGAAGATGTTAGAAGATACTTCAGGTGAAGGGGAAGTAATGGGAAAAATGAAAGGGCTCCCTGTATACCTGTGGATCCAGAACCAAAATTTCTCCAACTGGTATAATCTTTCATCATATCTCTATATTTTATGCATTGTTTGCTTATATGTATATGAAAGCACTCACCATCTTCCTCTCCAGCTCATGCTTTAAAGCGAGTCAGTGTAATCAACTCCAGAACTATACTGAAAGACCAAATCTTGGAGCAAAATGATAGGTGAGTATTAGGATAATACCAGGCTCACTGGGATTATGAATAATTAATTACAATCCTTTTAACATTTAAAATGTTTCCTTTATAAAGGATCTACACATTGTAATGGCTACAATATGTACTTAGTGGTCTCCAGGTTTTAATCTCTAAGTTAGATGGATGTGTCTAAGGTTTTAAGAGAGATGGATGTGACTTAGTTTGGGAAATACATGCTCATTAGACTCTCAATAACTTCTAGACAAATTCTAGTAGCAGAATTGTGTGTGTGTGGGTGTGCGCCCTGTCCCCAACCCATAACAGTCATACCCACTGCTGATGTGAATGTGAAATAAGCTTTAGATGTGAGAATTCTACAATGGACTGGTATGGGTATCAGGCCAGGATATGTGACCTAGAAATAGGGACTTGGTGTAGGAATTGAAGAATCTGTTAAATGAAGCAAGAGAGAGGGAAAAAAGAAGAGAGGGAGGGAGAAGTGAGGGAGGAGGTGGGGGAGAAGGTATGAAGGGAAGGAGGGAGGGAGGAAGTGAAAGAAGGATAGGAGAAAGTGAGAGAAATAAAAATCATAAAACATTGACCCTGATTGGATTTTGTTATATTATACTTCTTTTTTTTTCAAAAGTGACTAAAATGAACAGTAATTAAAGCAAATTACCCTAATCTGTTACTTGCCCCAGTATTCCCCACAGCAGTTGCAAATAGGAGACTGAAAGAAAAAAAAAAATAGGAATAAACAGAATTATAGGGAGCAGCCACTCATCAAAATTGCTAAAATGGGGAATCGGGATGGATTATAAGGAAGCAAGCACTTTGGGTTCCATAGGCTCAGAATTTTGTAGATTTGACCTTGAATTAAAAAATGGACCTTGAGGGGCGCCCGGGTGGCTCAGTCGGTTAAGCGTCTGCCTTCGGCTCGGGTCATGATCCCAGGGTCCTGGGATCGAGCCCCGGGTCGGGCTCCCTGCTCTGCGGGGAGTCTGCTTCTCCCTCTCCCTCTGCTGCTCCTCCTGCTTGTGCTCACGCTCTCTCTGTCAAATAAATAAATA